TGTAATGAGTGGGTATTTATAGAAGAAAAAAATTAGAAAAAAAAGTGACCAAACGGTCACTGAAAAATTATGATATTGTTGATAATAATTTGTAAATTGTAGAATATAGTAGAGAGTAGAGTGGAGAATGAAAGTTCATTGACCGTTCCGGTCACATATGGTTTTTTTTTTTAAATTTGACAAGCCCACGAGCCGAGCGGCTCGTGGGCTCGCCAACGAGAACAGTATGAGCTAAGCGGACTTGGCTCGCCTAGCGAGCTAGCCCGCTCAACTCGTGCTCGGGCTCGTCAAAGCGGCTCGTGGATCGCTACAGTACGAGCCAGCCGACAAGTCGCTCGGCTTGATTGCCACACTAATTATTGGTGGAATCCATGTGGTACATTTGCACGTAACAATACTGTCTATTTTTGTTAATATGGCACAAGTTTTTAAGTAATGTACGATTGCATTAGAGATGTTGTAAGTGGCATGCAACTAAGCAAGCAAAATGTTGGGAAAAATTGGTGATTTGTGTGTAGATATTTATTAATTAAAATAATTAGTTAATTAAATAACATAAACATATAATTCAACAATAACATAAGAAGAAGAGTTAGAAAGAAAGTAAACTTTAGGGAGTCACGTTAAGAATGATATCCTAATGTCGTGTTGCCTCGCTTTAATGCGAGTACTTTCGATATCACACGACTCCTAGATAAAACTCATATGACTCACAACCAGTTCTATTTCTATATGCATGACCACGGGAAGATAAAGAATGAGTTTTTATCAAGTTGCCAAAGTATAAGAATATATCATGAAAATGTAGAAAATATTCTATCAAATTATATTTTCAAGTTATATCTCAAACAATGGAATTCAATCTCCCTTTTATAATGTAAAAATCCAACTCCCACCATAATGAAAATTAATTCATTAAAATAGAAGTTACATTATACTATTAAATATATTGACTTTGTATTTAATCTAAAATTAAAATAAGAAAACTGGAAATTAAAAAAGATTTAATTTTGAAATTTAAAACTTTATTTTTAAGTTACAACACAAAAAATATACATTTTTCAAAATTTCCATAAAATGGATCTAAAGAATGTAGACAAGAATTGCTTTGAACGCTCCATGAAGAATAGTGAATAATTGAACGATGTGACAAATAATATGTATTCATTTATGTTGTTATTTATTAGTCAAATTTTGTTCAACTTTAGCAGGTAAGACCTCGAGTACCTATTCTCAACTAGAGTCAATAAAAAAATTGGACTTTAATTTATTTAGTTAGTAATAATCAGGACTAAAATTTATGATTAACTATATCCAAAACCATTATTGATTTATCATAATAATTTTGAAGGGAATTATTGCCCAAGATCTTGAATAAACAACTTCGATTTGTAATCGGCACATTGGCTTGGAATGATATTTACTTCAAATTTTCTAAACGATCTTATTATGATTATATACTTTTATCGAAAATGTCATTGAGATCCTAGACATTCGATACTAAGTAGGAGCTAGCGCTTGTTAGGAATTCATTGCGATTTAGGGAGTCAAATTGAACTTGAAGAAAGGAGTCAAATTGGTTGAGTACTGATCTTGTCTTCTAATAATGTAAACCACATAGGGAGAAACCTAGCTAGAGGAAGACCATGAATTATTGAAGTAAAATAGCAAACAGCCATGTGCTGACAGCTGAAGAGTTTCAAACTTCTCTACTTAAAGACATGAAAATGAAGTTGTATATTTAAAACAAGATTTACTCACAAGCCCTTACAATATTTTTAATTGTATCGACGGTACGTGTCTTTACGTGCAGATTGTAATCAATCACGAGCGAACCCAGAACTCGACATCAAGGTGGATTAAAATTTAGAGTTAGACCAGACATGGGCTTTAAGGATGGGCAAATTTTTTTTTTTTTTTTTGGACCAATTTTATAATGTAAAAATAATTTTGGAGTCAATTTGATGAAATAAAAGGGAAAGGAATTTTTGTTGGACCAACTTCAATTGTTAACTCGAGTCGCATTGTTATCATATTTTACCTATTTTGTCAAAAACCTTAAAGCTGTTATTAAAGGCAACTGTCAAATTTATTGTCTGAAGCTAATATTTACAAGGAATTGTGTCAATTATTGTCCTTAATATACTAATTGTTGGTTTAATTAGTTGGATATTTGTCATATAAAAATATAGGCATGCAGTGATCCAATGCACATTCTTGTCAATCTCAACCAGACAAATATTTAATTTCTACAGATAATAAATTCATGGCTGGCCTTTTAGTAGACATAATTCTCTGCAGAGATTGGTTTATTTTGATTCTCATTTTGACACTTGGAAATAGTGCTGTTTCTCATGTAAATGGTAGGGCATTTTTTGTGTTTGGAGATTCGCTAGTTGACAATGGCAACAACAACTACTTGATGACCACCGCTAGGGCGGATGCGCCGCCGTACGGCATTGACTACCCAACTCATCGGCCCACCGGCCGCTTCTCCAATGGCCTTAATATTCCTGATATAATCAGTAAACTTCTTTCTATAGTATTTTTTTTTCCTTACATTATATTATATGGGGATTTTGGCCTTGCTTAAAAGACAAAAAGAAGCAACTTATTTCTGTACTTTTCCACCTTATAACCTAACCTTTCATAGTGTGGAGAAAGAGTAAAAAACCTGCTTCTTTATCTTTTAAGGAAAGCCAAACGTGCTCTAAATGTTAATTTGCTAAGTTAAAAAGTTCACATATAATGAAAATTGCTTATAAGTAAATAAGTAAGTTTTAAAGTAAACAATTATTTTGTATTTCTTGATCAGGTGAGCATATGGGATGGGAAGCTACACTGCCATACTTGAGTCCAGAGCTGAGGGGGCAGAATCTGCTAGTGGGTGCTAACTTTGCTTCTGCTGGTGTTGGCATACTTAATGACACTGGAATTCAATTTGTAAGTCCCCGTTTGGTACATTTTCTTTAAAAAGTCATATTTTTTCAAACTCATTTTTTTAAATGCATATTCTTTCAATAAAATAATTTTGCAAGTCGACTCATAATTTTTCCAGATTTTTTAACAATATATTTTCCAAAAATATCACATTCCACATTTCATGATACCCACAATTGTTATCGACCATAAGTTTTGTTAACTTTGATCAAAAGCTTCGACGAACAACCCTTAACAATGTATCAGAACATATGCAGATTTTCAGTTCAAATCTCATTACTATTCATTCATAAAAAAATTATGTGCGAGTGCTATTTGTTTGCAGGTAAACATTATTCGGATTCCGAGTCAGCTGGACAATTTCAAAGAATACCAGCGGAGAGTGAGGGAGCTAATCGGATATAAAGAGAGGAAGAAACTTGTGAAACAAGCACTTGTTCTCATTACATTGGGAGGCAATGATTTCGTCAATAATTATTACTTAGTTCCCAACTCTGCAAGATCTCAACAATTCACCCTTCAAGAATATGTCCCTTTTCTCATCACTGAATACAAGAAAATTTTAAAGGTATGTTTTCTCTCTCTCTTTCTCCATCTCTCTCAATCGCAATGATGATCTCAATCTTTCATACTTGCCCCTGTTTGTCTACCATTATGGGGAGGAAAATGGTGTAATGAATAGTATTTTTTGGAGAATGTGTGATTGAAATTTAAAGTAACTTTATTGGTTTGTGTGTAGAATATTTTATTGGGTGAATGTGTGGTGAAGAATCTTACTGTAGCAAACAATTTTTTGAAATAATGGTAGACAAACGGGGGTTGAATAAGCTTTGGATGTCT